TGGAAATGTTTGGATTGGTTTTAAACTGGAGGATGAACTCTGCTATTTGGTTCGTTATCCTTCCCGTCTAAAATGATCCCTTTTCTCCCTGTTTAGTCTCTCATCATTTAGTCCTTCTGTTATGTTTTAAATTTTCCTGAAACACATTTGTTATTTTTTTTCCTCTCTCTGTCAGATGCGGCAGTCATAAATTTGACAACACTAAAAGGCGTATAACTCTTATTTAACAATTTCTACCTTTTAATTCCTTGTGTTTTTATTCGTCTTTCATTTCCTTCCTCCAGCTCCACAAACAATAGAGCATCCGGATATACAAGCAATGCATTTGTTCTTCTTATCCTGCTTTCCTGCTTTAACTTTCTCCATTTAACATTGTCTATCTCCTTAGTGAATGTGGAATATAGTTTGAGTTTATTCACACAGTCGTTAGATGGTGTTTGTCCACCCTTCTGGTGTGATCTCTAGGTCATGTTATTGTGTCCATTGCTACTGAAAGGGCATCAGCCAATCAATGTCTGGTCCCAAGTCCCTGTTGTTATATATGTGCTGTTGTTATACATTGATAACAAGTATTGTACATCATTAAGATCATTTACAAAAGACATTAAATGGAGAAAAAAAATCATATCTCTAGTGATGATTTAGTCACTGATATGTTAAAAGTGATTAATTCCTCTAATAGTTTGACATTGTGAAAACGGAGGATGATTAACACAAAGATCAACTGTGAGTACTAAAACTAGATTTTGCATGAATGATTGGCAACATATTTTTCTGAATGGTGACACAGTTTGAATCCAGAGGTGCACAAATCTCTCCTGCATGGAAAATCCTCCGGAACAATCTGCTGTTGCACCAATACATGACAGCTGGGATGGTGCGCTCCGTTTTTACCTGCAGGCTATGGTGGTTAATATGGCCATTGAAGGGAAGGAAACAGTGTTCCATCTAAAAAGCACTGATTCAGAGTGGTGCCACCAATTTCACAATGGGAGTGCTGGTCTGAACACCAGTTCTGAATATCTGTGGAGAAAGGACTGGGAGGCTATTGTCAGGAAACATCTTCTTCGACCTGCTTGCAATACCTTCTTTCTCTGTCACTTTCATATCCTGATGTTTTAAAAAAGATATTTTTTATTTTTCCACTGTATGCTAGACAAAAGCGCACCAAAGATCTGAAGAGAAAGAAAGTGGAGAATTGGTGTCAAATGAACTATAAACATATCCACTGGTTTTTCTCCTGCTGAGGCAGCACAGAGGAATGTTTGTAGTTCTGGTTGCATGAGTTTAAGTATAAGAGAGCAAGTTCACACACATTACGATCCATTGTTGAAACCCTGGCGCCAGGGCTACCAGTTGCTCTCCCACATTAATCTGTCTCCACATAATGTCTCACTGGTTAGTTGCTAGCCACTCAAGCACCCAACCTCTCCCTATTGCTGCTTCAGAGAGAGCAACAGTCTGCAGGCTTGTTCAACAGAGTTAATTTCAATATCATTACCTTTATATCCAATTTGATGAGGTAGCACAAATCCTGTCTGTGAAGGACTAAAATAGCATTATATTCACTGAGTGCACCTGATTGCTAGCTGCCATCAAACCTCAAAAGGAATTATAATGAAAAGGCCATATTTTATCTGGGAACCTCTGATAACTCTGTGCCCACATCATCTTAGTTAAGGTCAGCTGTAGTCATTGTTCTGCTTGGGTGGACAGGATATCATAGAGCCCTTTACTTTTATATGTGTGGACCAGGCTGCATTGTTTTGTACAGGAAGCTGTTGTTAAAGATAATAGCAACAAGTTCAGTTCAAGTGTTCACTGGACTGAATTCTTTCTAAATTTGGGAGAATCATAACAAAGACAAAAAAGACAATTATTTTGTGTGATTATCAGAATAGAAGCACATATGTGATACAAACAGGCTTTCTTATTACTGGGGCGTCCTTTTTGTTCTTTCTGTTGTTCCTTTTAAAAGTTTTGAAACCTTGTTCAGAGATGGGACACCCAGGACTTGTTGACTTTGGTATTAAATTAACATGCAAAATACATCCTTTGCCCAGCATGTGTCCTCTTGTTCTCAGGCATTGCTCTCCTTACAAGCACAAGCTCTCTCATTCACATATACCACCCACAGTAAGCAGATATATCATCCATCCGTCCGCCAATCCATCCATATTTTTCTAAAGATTCTCATATCTGACAGATGTTGGAGGTACATAGTAACTACCTAAAGCTGTAGTTGAACATATTGAGTTTATATTTGGTGGGAATAGTGCTGAAAATCTTAGCGGGATGGAAAAATAAATGATGCCCTGGCCATCTGTTACTTTAACCAGCAGCATCCAAACTTTTTTGCCATACCATACAAATTGCAAGGTTTAAAGACCAACAATTACTTGCTTGTTTTCAAAATTAAATAAGGTGTGTTTTTTAGGTGCTCAGCATGAACATGTTGTTTTGATGAAACAAACGAAGTGATCTATTTAGTGAAAAATAATCTATACGTTATTGTGGTCCAAAACTGACTATACAAACTACTCTATTTTTTATGTTTCTGTCTTAACATTAGCTGTAGTTAAAACTACCTTACATGTTACAAACTGGATATTAGTATTTTTGGGTGGTGTGGGCAGGCGCCAAGTCATAATGTGTTCTTGATGTCAGCTTTTGAAGCACTGGCTCCAGCCACAGTCATGGCTTATTTGTCTCTTCTAAATTTTTTGAATTGGCTTTGCTTCATAAACTTCTCAAGGTTGTACTTGTACCTGTAGCTTGTTCACATTTGTGATGATACAGCAATCCTCTGTGAAAAGCCAGCCACTTTGGCAATGAGTTTTTGCAGCTTACCTTCCTCGTGAAGAGTTTCAGTGATAGGGCTTGACTAGTTAACAATCATCTCGATGATTTTGTAGGCCACTTTAGCTCATAGCCATAGCCCTTAGTAGAATTAAATGTCTGAAATGTATGACTGTGTGTGTAATCTATTATTAAGTATATCACATGAAAGCAAGCAATTTAACAAAAAACATTCACCTTAATATGTTACAAAAACGAATGAATAAATATAATTTACTAGTGAAATAAAATCAGAGGATGTTTCTTTAAACTGTGGATTAAACCGGTTCAATGGAGTAATAGGGTGGTATATTCCTTCGGAATGAGAAATGCTTCTCTGCAGAGTGACAATTGTATTCCTGTTTTTCAAAAATACATAACATAACGTTTTAGCCAGATATTATGTTCTGTGTCACATTCCAGATCAATGAAGTAGCTGAAGTACAGTGTATGCAGGCAGCCTTTCTAACCATGTCTTATTAAACGGCTCCATTCTGTGTTTCTAGGCTCTCCTCTGTGTTTGATATCTCATTTGGCATTCCCTCTGTGCGCGGCCCTCGTTATTGTATTCCTATGGAGTGCACTGGCATTTGACATGCACACTCTGGCAGCATTGCAGATCTACCTGGTCTCACAGCAATCCTCTCTCTCTCCCTGTCTGCCTCATTGGGGTTGGCTCCTCTGTAGCCTGGCGTTTCTCTTACTAAGACCTCAAGCTGGTAATAGACCTGGGAGGCCCAGGACTGTCTTAATTTGATTTTCATTGTATCACTTTGGTTCTAGTGTTAGTGTTTGTGCCTATATAACACTAGCACTACATAAGATCATGAGAAGAGACATTCATTCAGATTTTAAAAGCAGAGCATGCCACATAAGATTGTTTTTACTAATTCAATTAGCCCTTTCATCTTTTGATGCTTATGTAATTCTTGTGAATTGGATAAGTTTATAAAAGCCTACTTGGAATTGTAGAAAATACTACTTTTGTTCTGTTTTATTATTAAAATGTGTTTGGTTCATTTCAGTTTTTGCTATTTCCGGAACTGCAAGTGCTGTACTTAAATTATGATGAAAGAATGTGATTAGGAGCATACTTTTAACTGCCTGAAGTTAATAGCAACATTCTATCTCATGGCCAAAAAACTTTTAATATATCACAGTCCATAAGTACTGTGTTGTAGAGAAAAATAAATTACTCTGTGGTTCAGGGAGTCTGTGTAGCCTCCAGTTTTATATTTTCTCCCTACTTAACCTTTAAATCATGATGGATTTGCTTTACTTCAAAGGAAGGGAGAACTAGGTCTTAAGGTCTCATGTTTTACTTTTTTTTATTGACAACAAAGTGCTTAGGGATTATCAACCAGTTATCAACTGTGGCTGGTGGGTGCACCCATCCTGTGGCTTTGATTCTGTGCAGACTATTCTGTTTATTTTCTGATTTTCTGTGGATATGCATGGGGAGACTGTTAAGGTATTCAAAAATAATAATGTTATCTCAGTATCTTTTCAAATAGATTGCAAAACATCACTAGGCTAGACTCCTGGTTAGACCAGTCAGTGTTTTAAGCTTTTTTTCAATTTCAGTTCTTAAGGAGCTAAACACTTTAGAAGTTTCCATTGGTAAAAAAGTTACCTTATAAAGCAGTATTTTCACCCTTTGCCTATAAGAATTGAAACATGAAATCCAGAGGAGCCCATCAGAGATTTCAGCAATTTATACATCACTTGCTTCTTTAAAAAATCATGTACTAGTGGAGTAATTGTTTAATTAATAGAAAACTCCCTAATTAATTAAAAGGAGTGTCTCTAATTGAAAAGCATAATAAAAAACTGCATTGACTTCATGCTGTAACTAATTATAACCTTGCCTTTTTTTTAAATTAAACAACAAGACAGCGTTTTCTAGAGGCTCCAGCTGTGTATTGAGCTAATTTTTGTCCTGAAAAGCATAATATCTACACCTATTATCCCCATCTGTACTTGGGAACCGAGCCTCTTGTATATTTTCATCTAACAGCCAATAGAATCAGCGGGTTTATGACATCAGCAACATGATGCACCAATCAAAACGAGCCAAAACGCATTTGCGTAAATGACCGGAAGCTCCAGCTGTGCGCTGACACAGGAAGTCGTTTGAGTATATAGGCGGTAACCATGGAGACAGAAAAGTTGAAAACAGTGAGAAATCACTTCAGTGTGACGCAAAAACATTTGATTACAGTACGTGATTGGAAATATTTACTCTAACATGGATCATGACCGGGACACAAAAAAAGGTTGGACTGAATTTATGTTTTTAGCTTCGTGAAATTAGCTGTTTTTTTTTCATTATTTGGCTGCTGGTTCAGTGAGTTTTGCACATAGCTGGTGATCCTGGTATTGTTGGAAACGGCAGAGTCTGGATTTTAATCTGATTGGCCGAGCAGAGAGGTTTGTAAGTGGAGATTTGATACGAGCAGTCTCGATTATATGCATTACATCGTTTTCAGGATAAATAATTCTGTTTATCTCGGTTAGCTAGCTGCTAAGCTAATCCTGGTGTAAGGGATGACACAATAGGTGACGCCCACTTTGGGGAGTAGCTCAGAGAGAGGGAATCAAAGTGAATGGGATCTTCTTCTGGGATGCCATTTTGACTTGCTACCTCTTAAAGGTGGCATGTGAAATGGACCAGCTGTATCTTGGTATTAATAAATGGAATTCGTGAATTCAACTTACTGACTCTTCTGTAACCTCATACGTCAAGAACTCAGCGTGGAGAACAGATAATTATCCACACTTGCCACCATCAGCGTATAAAAGTGTGAATGAATGGGTGAGTTACTGTAGTGTAAAGCGCTTTGGATCCATCCATTTAATTATTTGCTCTGTAAGTACAGGCTATTAACCATCACTGAACCGGCTTTCTGTTCTTTTGTGTTTGTCATGTTTATTCACTGATGTTCATTAACAAACCTTTAAGACTTCACTAAACAGTTCAATTTTTACAGAGATTAAATTACATGCAGGTGATCTCTATTTAAAAATTTGTTTTCTTAATCTGGCCTCAGGTAAAAAAGGAGCAGACAAATTTGTGTATATTTTAATGGACTCAGACTCTTTCGGAGACCACAGATATGTGGGGGTATAAAGTACTTCACATAATAACCATAAAATGCAATTCAAAAGATTGTGCCTTCTAAACTTTTTGAACTGCTGATAGGTTCTCAATTTGTGTGACTTTACTTTAACAAGCAACTCATTGTTTGTTTTTGTTGTTTTTTTGACAGAGACTGAATTAATTCAATTTCAGATGCCTGTTTCTCTATTTTTCTCTTTTCTTTCATACTTGCTGTCATCCACAATGCTCAAATAATGAGAAACTGGTGAAAGGATGTTTACAAGATTAGCAAATTTGTCTTCAACACTTTTGTGCATATGATTATCACTACGGATATTTAATATCCCAAAGGATTTGATGAGATTATTCCAGCATGCAGTTTATTACATGCTTTTGTTTTGACAAAACAAGTGAAATATTACTGTCACAAACTTTTCACATGTAAATATGTGAATATTTTTCAATTTATCTATACTTACACATTGAACAGTAGCAGTAAAGTAGATATTTAAGTAAATCATATTTCAGTTTCTTTCTAAGGATCAGAATTGTTTAAATTGTTTATGCGCTATCATTCAAATCTTGACCTAAAACTCAAATCTACTTAGCAAATAGTAGTTTAGCAGCCATTGATATTATTGCCAGAATATAATAGCTAAAAACTATTATATTATAAGTAATAAGTTTATAATAACACAAATTAAAATAAATAAAGCTGTCTGAGTTTATTTGCATCATTTACAGACTTTTTTGTGGACCTCACAAATATTCAGCTGTACGTATAAGGTTAAACTACTTCTAGACCTTTCAATTTTGCCTCTTCTAAACTTAGATGAAATACAGTATGTACATTTGATTCAAAGCTGTGAATGGACATCTCCATGTGTTGTAATCCATCAATATGAGTCAATTGCTTTCTAGGTTGTGTGTATACAACTTTAAGCACGATGCTTGTGTGGGTACTTGAGCAATATCCTGGAGTAGTGGGCCCCCATCCGATGGGTCCCCATTGCACCCATCCCCGGGTCACAGGGAATATGCCGGGTTCTGGTGGACGTCCATCCCTCTTCACCTCCCAGGGGCGAGCTCACCATGTGGGATGGTCACCTGCCTTTCCTTTGCTGTTCTTGGGTGCTGAATGTTGCGGTACAAGCGACCACAGCAAAAACTGTGTGTTGGATCCTTTCACATTGTTATCCAAAACCCATAAAGAAAACACTCACAATTTACGTTTTGTTTGGGTTTGAGTAAAAATGGGTTTTTACTCAGTTCTTTGTCCAAAGCAATGGAGTTTAACTTCTTGAGGTCATCCTCTCAATCTCTGAAAGACAAAGATTTAACTATGACCATGTTATTAAATTGCATAAATTGATATCTGGAGATTATCTGTGTGAAAAACTGATTGCCACTTAAAGCTAATGACTGGCTATTCCTCAATAATTTATGTTGCAGAACTTGTGAGTACTGTCTACCCTAAGGGTTAGGGTTAGCAACATCATAACCGTTTCCAAGCTACATGTGTAAAATATTTAACATGTATATGCTTTGTCAAATATGTTGAGAAATGACACGTTTTTTTCCCCTTTTAATTCATATCTCTCACTATCTTAAGAAGTCCATTCCTTTTCCAGTCTCTGTGCACCAACCATTGTTACTGTTTGACTATGAACACAGTTTGACCTAAAATAAATTCCTGCATTTAAATTTGTTGTCTTGAGACATGATCTCACCAATGTTACAATGAAAATCTCCTGGTCATAGACTTGCTGTAAATCCTCATACAGGCTTCCGTGACCTGATGATATTAGCTCCAAATACATATTGGGAGAAATAAAGACTTTTAATAGTCTTGGTCTGTATGTTTGGTATGCAGCAGCCAGCAGCTCTGAGAACGGTAATTTAACACCCAATGCCCTGAACAGTCATGTTTGATATGCTGCTTCTCTCCCTATTGCTGAGCTTCTACTGCTCTACTATAATTACTGCGCTTGGCAGACAGTCACGACACATCGACAACAGACGAATTAGGGTGTGGGGAGAGCACCAGTCGAAGAAAAAAAAGGTGGGTGTTTTGAGGGAAAGTACCACTGAATTTTGTTTTGTTTTTAGCAAACTTTTACAGGAAATCTGCACTGCTGTGAAAGAAAAGGTAAAACACGAATACAGGCAGGGACAGGACAGGATTTCTTCTTACGTTATTATGCATAGGTTTGTTTTCTAGCAGAGGTGATTCTGTATAATGAATTTTTCTTTGAAATAATTAGAACATCCAATTGACACCTAAGTAACTATCATCTTCCACTGGGGAGGTTTTTTTAATTCAATGGCAGAAGATAAACTTTCTAAAAGTTGCAACACCAATTTGGATTTTGCTATAATTTTAGTTTGAGACACAGCTCCTAAATATGACTGTGCTTGATGAAAATAGCAGTAATAAAGACTGTGAAAAGGTGAGACGTATCAGAAGCATTAAAAGTATGTATTGATTTAAATACCATATTGTGAAAATATGTAAGAATTCTTTATGATCCAAAGTGTTATTTATACACTTGCCTTTGTAGCATAAGTTTTGACATAAATTGCTCATTATGTTTGAATATACAAGGCTTGAGCAAAAGGTTGTCATGAAGTTTCTGTGACTAGCATTTGTTGTTGAAATTACTTAAGATGTTAAATATCTGAGGCAGCTTGAATGAAAAGATGAAAATCTTTAAAAACTTCACAATAATAACTAGCAGGTCAAAATAAACTACCCAAACATGACAAAAGTTTTGCAGAGCCAACTTGTAACTTGACACATTTTCGAAATGTCTAAATTGCAACAGATACCTCAAAAGATGGTGGTTACTTGCTACCCAGTCTCAAATTATGCTGAAATTCTTTTTTTTTTCTCAAATGTTGCTATTGTTGTGGAAAATAATTGCGATATCCATCGTCTGCAGACAAAAGCTCAAATGTCAACAATTGAAATGTATGACTGTGAAAGAATATAATAAGATCTGGTTCTTTACTCATAATGCAATACAATTACAGTTATAACTCAGCAATAATAGAACAACACAATGTTGCTGGAGGAATTATAGCCAGTTCCATGATGCTATGAGGTTATATTTACTTTATCCTTTGAATAGTGTGTCTGTCATAAAACTTTCTCCTGCAGTGAGGATAGAAATAAAAAAATAAAAAAAAACACAATTTGCAAACATTCTTCTAAGTATCATCATCAATTTGGGTAGTTGTCAAAAAAGAAATAAACAAAGCTCTAAAATATACACAAACAGGTTTGCACCTCCACCCACTATGGACATTTTAAGTTAGCCTTCTGCAATACATATTTTATGTGAGAATCTCAGTGCTACCAAGAAACCAGAATGTGTGTGCACCCCTGATGTGCACCTAACAGAAAAGGAACGATGGGAGGGATTTGAAATGATTGGCCCTTTTTTTATTCCTCACAGCTGTGCGATAAGAAGGAACGGTGCTTCGGCACGCTGGTATTTCTGCAGATAAGCTCTCCACCAGAAAACAAGACTTTGTTGCAAGACATGATTAGAGCCATCATAGTTGTGTGCCTACATCTTGTGTTTTCTAAGGAGTATTCGGTCTAAGCTGCCTCTCAAATACTCATTGTGCAATCCATTTGCAGTTTACCCACTTTAAACAAAGAAATGTGTTAGATATTAAAAATCTACACCAGTAACCAAAGCTGCCTTCAATGAACATGCCTGCTTTCAAAGATTCATATGTTAAAAATATCAACTATTAATGCAATACAACAAATTAATCAGATTTAAATCCTTGGATTTTGCTATAATTTTGGATATTGTTGTTGTGCATGAAAAATGAACAAGATTATTTTTATGTGCAACAACAATTATTAGCAAATTATTCTGCCAGCTATTATATTCATATTAATGGAATATAGCTGTTGTTCTGTTGCTGTCTGCTGATGTGGAAACATTTAATCTTTTGCCCCTCCCTATGTATCAAATTCATAACGTGATGCCGTAAATGACGTAACCCTGAGAGGATTTTAGGTTGTGGCACCACAACAGTCAGGTCACCTTGTCTTAGTCTTAGTGATAGTTTTAACAAATATGTGAAAAAAAAACTTAAAAAAAAAAAAAAAACATTACTTTTAACTCAATCGCTACTTTAGATCATTGAGTGTGTGTG